ACCTATACCTCAGCGTGTCGTACATCCAGATGCTCAAGGTGCGTGCGCCGCGCCCCGCTGCTACGAGTCCCGGCTGATATGACCTGACTTGATAACGCAACGAAGGCGTTTGTGCCAGTGGCGATATTGCTGATATCGTGGGCGGCGCGTATACAGGAGCCGAGTAGGAAACTGCTTTTGATCGTACTCATGATATCGTGCGGCGTCGCGCTCGCTTCGCATGGCGAGCTCCACTTTCATCTCGGCGGGTTCCTCGTACAGGCTGCGGCTGTCGTCGTGCGTCCCCGCGTCTTCCTCACTCACTGACTGACTGACTGACTTACTCACCCCCCCCCCGCCCCGCCATCACACTCATGGCTTACTCTTCCTCACGACCCCAGTTCGAAGCCTCCCGCCTCGTCCTCATCCAACTGATTCTACACAATTTAAAAATGGACCCGCTAGTGTCGCTACACTACTACGCCCCCGTATGCGCCGCGATCAACATGTGTCTCATCCCCTTCACAGAGGGTCTCGCCCCCTTTTATGCACTCGCGGAGTTGGGGCCGGGGGTGCTGCTGACGAATGCGCTGGTGGCGTTTTTGTTGAATGTCGCGGCGGTGTTCCTCGTGGGTGTCGGGAGCGGGTTGGTGTTGACGCTTGCGGGCGTGTTCAAGGTGCGTCCGATGCGGTGTGTGCTGGAGAGATGGGATTGCAAGCTAACGCGCCGCAGGATATTCTGCTGATTACGGGATCGGTGGCGTTGTTTGGGAGTACGGTCACCCCGTTGCAGGTGTTTGGGTATTCGATTGCGCTGGGTGGGCTCGTGCTGTTCAAGACTTCTGGAGGGAGGTGAGCGCGCGGCGTCGTGCCAGGCGAAGCAAGTCGAAATCGAATTGGGCGATGTATACGTTTTCCCCTTCTTTCGCTCTCACCTCTCTCTCACTCCCTTTCTCACTCCCTCTCTCTCACTCTCCCTCACTCTCGTGTGTTGTTTGTTGTTTGATTACCCCCACCCCACCCCACCCCCCCCATAGACACTAGATTAACAAACGGACTTTGATACGTAATGCTTACCCATCCATCCACTACTACCCCACGTCCTTTACCCCACGCACTCGCCACCCGTTCCAGGTCCAGGCTCCAGGCTTCCAGGCTTCCAGGCTGTGATTTTGATAGATCGACAACTTCAACCTTTGTGCTGTTCTGTCCCGTCGTTGTGTTTTTCGTGTTGCTTTTGCGCTACGTATGTATATAGTTTAGTTTTTAGTTTTTCGTGCTCGTGTATGTGTCGAGATGAATATAATAAATAAATATGAATGTGAATATGAATATGAATGTGAATGTAGGGTTATGTAGAGAGAGACAGAGAGAGTGTGTGTGTGTTGAGGAGGTGCGCGCCCGTAAGTAGTTGGTGAGGCGAGGAGGAAGGAAGTAGAAACGTAACAAAAAAGGCATACTCAGGCTTTTGGGATTCCCTCTAGCCGACTTGAACGACTGACCTCGTCATAATGAACATCATCTACAGACATTGGGATACTAGTGACGCGCTCTACCACTGAGCTAAGAGGGACATTGATAAGTTGTGCGTTGGTTGCTGTGGTTAGTTCGGGGCGAGGAGGAAGTCTGGATCGTCGTAAAAGCGGATTCCGAAGGTAGGGAGCGTTTTCGGAGGCCTCTGCGCAACAAGCGCATACTTCCCATCACCCCTGTGCTTCCCCACGAGGGACCTCAGGCCGCTTTCGGC